CGCACCTTGAGACGTTGCTGCGTCATAATATGGTAGCTGGATTTGATGTTGATCGACACAGCATACAATCAGCCAGCACGTGTGTGTGTGAGACTTGCGTCCTTGCTAAACATACACGTGGTCCTTTTCCGTTATCTGGGCATAAGGCAGCGCAGCCTCTCGCGCTCATTCACATGGATGTGTGTGGGCCTATGCCTGAACCTTCGCCTAGTGGTTCGCGTTACGTGACAACCCTGCTTGACGACCATACTGGTCTTTCAGCTGTTGCGTTTACAGCGACCAAGGAGGAGGTCTACCAGAAGATGGTGGTAATGATAGCGGAACTGGAGCGCGCCACTGGCAGGCAGGTTAAGGAGGTGCGTACAGATCGTGGCGGGGAGTTCGTTAATACTCGCACGAAGGCCTATTTCGCTTCCAGGGGTATTCTACACGGAACTACGGTAGGCTACACCCCTGAGCAGAACGGAGCTGCAGAACGTTTAAATCGCACTCTTTTGGACAAGACTAGGTCTATGCTAGTTGAGTCTGGACTGCCTAAATCATTATGGGCGGAGGCGTTAGCGACAGCCAACTATCTTAGGAATGTGTCGCCAACTGCTGGGTCAACCGTCACTCCGTACGAAGCTTTCTTTAACGTTCGTCCGAACGTCAGTCACCTGCGAGTCTTTGGATGCGTTGCCTACGTCCACGTACCCGACGTCAAGCGTGACAAGTTCGACCCGGTGAGCAGGCGTGGAATACTTGTTGGATACGGGAACGGTGGACAGTATCGTGTATTATCCGAGGACGGCATTATTGCCGTAGTTTCTAACGTTCGTTTTGACGAGTCTAATGTCGGCCGGCGGCGTAATGCCGGGGACTCCGATTATGAGTCCGATGCCGACGAGGAGGAGGAGTTTCGCACTAGTTTATCTGGTGAGGGATCGCTGCCTAGGGCTGGCGAAGGGACACCAGGTAGCACCGTCGGCGAGGGATCGCCGCATTTGGGTGGCGAGGGGGCGCCGGCTGGGGCTGGACCTTCCAGCAGTGCGAGCGGGCAAGGAATTAATCAGCCTGATGTGGAAATGGCAGGGACACGATATCCAGTTAGAGAGCGGAAACGCCCTGGCGAATGGTGGCGAAACGAACCTGGTCGCACTGTTACTGGTCGCGTTAACGCTGCTTTCTCTGCTGGTATTCCTGATCCTAATTCGTTTGCAGAAGCCATTGCAAGTCCAAATGCAGACGACTGGCGGCGTGCGATGGACGAGGAGATCGCCGCCCAGATGGCTAATAGTACTTGGGAGCTGAAGAAGCCACCTCCTGGTACTCGTTTGTTGCCGTGTCGGTGGGTTTATAAGGTTAAGTACAGCGATGACGGCAGCGTGGAGCGATTTAAGGCGCGTTTAGTTGCCAAGGGTTTCGAGCAACGCGAGGGGATTGATTATGGGGAGTTGTTTGCTCCTACCTCTCGTGGTTCGTCATTGCGTGCTTTATTAGCAGTTGCCGCAGCCCGGAACATGACGGTACATCAGCTCGATGTGTCTACTGCGTTTCTGAATGGTGAGCTGAAGGAGGAGTTGTGGATGGAGCAACCGCCTGGGTATGCATCCAGTGACCGGTCGCGTGGAGCGATTTAAGCGCGTTTAGTTGCCAAGGGTTTCGAGCAACGCGAGGGGATTGATTATGGGGAGTTGTTTGCTCCTACCTCTCGTGGTTCGTCATTGCGTGCTTTATTAGCAGTTGCCGCAGCCCGGAACATGACGGTACATCAGCTCGATGTGTCTACTGCGTTTCTGAATGGTGAGCTGAAGGAGGAGTTGTGGATGGAGCAACCGCCTGGGTATGCATCCAGTGACCGGTCGCTTGCGTGCAAGCTGCAGAAGTCTATTTACGGTTTGAAGCAGGCACCCCGTTGCTGGTATGAAAAGCTATCAGCAGAGTTCGCCAAGCTGGGTCTTTATCCTTCGAAGTCTGATCCGGCGATGTTTGTTAAGACGGACGAGCGTGGGGTTGTTATTGCTTTGGTACACGTAGATGATACAATTGTTGCGTCGGAAGACCCGGAAATGGTCCGGGCAATTAAAGCCGCAATTGCGAAGGTCTTCAAGGTGCGCGACCTTGGAGAAGCGAAGGTGTTTTTGGGCATGGAAATTAGGAGGGAGAAGTCGGGTGAGATAGTGTTGTCGCAGCATAGGTATATTGCGCAGCTGTTGGAGCGTCATAGGATGATTGACGCCAAGCCGAGGTCTACCCCTTTGCCTCCGGGCTTTAGGTACACTCCTAAGGGGGACGGAGAGGAGCTGCTGGGCAATCCCACCGAGTAT